TTTATTTATTTTTGGGACAGAGAGAGACAGAGCATGAACGGGCGAGGGGCAGAGAGAGAGGGAGACACAGAATCGGAAACAGGCTCCAGGCTCTGAGCCATCAGCCCAGAGCCCGACGCGGGGCTCGAACTCACGGACCGCGAGATCGTGACCTGGCTGAAGTCGGACGCTTAACCGACTGCGCCACCCAGGCGCCCCTAGAGTATTCTTTCATAAAATAGCCTTGAACTCTTTAAAATTTTATTTATTTTTAAAAATTTTTCATTCGAGTATAATTAACATGCCATGTTGTTTTAGTTTCAGGTATGGTACTGGCACAAAAACAGACACATAGACCAATGGAATAGAATACAGAACCCAGACCTGGACCCACAAATGTATGGCCAACTAATCTTTGACAAAGCAGGAAAGAGTATCCAATGGAAAAAAAGACAGTCTCTGTAACAAATGGTGCTGGGAAAAGTGGACAGGAACATCTAGAAGAACGAAACTAGACCACTTTCTTACACCATACACGAAAATAAACTCAAAATGGATGAAAAACCTAAATGTGAGATAGGAAACCATCAAAACCCTATAGGAGAAACAAGTAACAATCTCTTTGACCTCAGCCACAACAATTTCTTACTCGACACATCTCCAAAGGCAAGGGACTTAAAAGCAAAAGTGAACTGCTGGGGCCTGATCAAGATAAAAAGCTTCTGCACTACAAAGGAAACAATCAACAAAACTAAAAGGCAACCGACGAAATGGGAAAAGATATTGGCAAATGACGTATCAGATAAAGGACTAGTATCCAAAATCTATAAAGAACTCACCAAACTCCACATCCAAAAAACAAAGAATCCAGTGAAGAAATGGGCAGAAGACATGAATAGACAGTTTTCTAAAGAAGACACCCAGATGGCCAACAGGCACATGAAAAGATGCTCAGCGTCGCTCCTCATCAGGGAAATACAAATCAGAACCACACTGAGATACCACCTCATGCCGGTCAGAGTGCCTACAATGGATAAATCAGGAGACTATAGATGCTGGCGAGGATGTGGAGAAACAGGAACCCTCCTGCACTGTTGGTGGGAATGCAAACTGGTGCAGCCGCTCTGGAAAACAGTGTGGAGGTTCCTCAAAAAATGAAAACTAGATCTACCCTATGGCCCAGCAAGAGCACTGCTAGGAATTTACCCAAGGGATACAGGAATGCTGATGCATAGGGGCACGTGTACCCCAATGTTTATAGCAGAGCTTTCAACAATAGCCAAATGATGGATAGAGCCTAAATGTCTAACAACTGACAAACGGGTAAAGAAGATGTGGTTTATATATACCATGCAATAGTACTGGGCAATGAGAAAGGATAAAATATGGCCATTTGCAGCAATGTAGATGAAGCGGAGCGTATTACACTAAGTGAAATACGTCAATCAGAGAAAGACAGATACCATGTTTTCACTCATATATGGACCTTGAGAAACTTAACAGAAGACCATGGGGGGAAGGGAAGGGGGAAAACAGTTATAAACAGAGAGGGAGGCAGACCATAAGAGACTCTTAAATACAGAGAACAAACTGAGGGTTGATGGGGGGAGGGGCAGGGGAGAGGGGAAAGTGAGTGATGGGCAATGAGGAGGGCACTTGGGATGAGCACTGAGTGTTGCAGGGAAAATACTTTGACAATAAATTATGTCCATACAAAAAGAGACAGGATTCAGGTGTATAATATAGTGATTCAACAACTCTACACATTACTCAGTGTTCATCGTGATAAGTGTTCGCTTCATCCCCTTCACCTGTTTTCCCCATCTCCTCGCCCACCTCCCCTCTGTCAACCACCAATTTGTTTTCTACATTTAAGAGTCTGGGTTTTTCTTTTTTGGTTTTTGCTTCTTTTTCAATGTGTTTGTTTCGGTTTTTACATTCCACTTATTGGTGAAATCATAGGGTATTTGTCTTCTTTTGACTTATTCCACCTAGCATCATACCCTCTAGGTCCATTCGTGTTCTTGCAGGATGGCAAGATCGCGTTCTTTTTTATGGCTGAGTACCATGTTGAAGCAAATTGTGCCATCGTAATTGAAGACTCTGTGGTTCTCAGCTTATTCTAAAGCGAACAGCTTGGATTAAACTGGCCACCTGCTGGTAACTCCACTAATTCATGGGTCTACCTTTATTCTTCCTTGCCTCACTCCACCATGATTACTTCTATGAAATATAATAGCAGCTAAAACATAGGACTCCATATTAAAGACTTAATCAGGGAAACTGTTTATTATTATTATTATTATTATTATTATTATTATTATTATTTTAGAGAAAGAGCAGGAGTGGGGGAGAGGGTCGGGGGAAACAGAGAGAGAATCTTAAGCAGGCTCCATGCTCTGCGCAGAGCCTAATGTGGGGCTCGATCCAATGACCCTGGCATCATGACTTGAGCTGAAATCAAGAAATGAATGCCCCAAGGGCGCCTGGGTGGCTCAGTCGGTTTACCGTCTGGCTTCAGCTCAGGTCATGATCTCACAGTTTGTGGGTTCGAGCCCCCCATCGGGCTCTGTGCTGACAGCTTAGAGCCTGGAACCTGCTTTGAATTCTGTGTCTCCCTCTCTCTCTGCTCCTGCCCCGCTCATGCTCTCTCTCTCTCTCCTTCAAAAATAAATAAAAACAAAAACAAACAAACAAAAAAGACTTGAATGCCCCAATCAGGGCAAGCGTTTTGAGCATCTCCTTTAGAGAGAGGGTGATGTGAGCCTCTTGAAAAAGTTGGAAACACTGAAATTCGCGATGCACTTTTTGGGGAGAGGAAATGAGAACACCTTGTGTTCAGGAAATGATGCTTCCTTCTTTTGTTTTCGTGTGAGGCTGATAATGACAGTCCTACATCCTACTTCCAAGAAGTCAGCCGTTGGAATGAACAAGGCAATTAGGAATAGGGCTGGTGTCGCTCCGTCACTTTAATAGATGCTACTTTAAAAGCAGTTTTAGGTTCAGAGAAAAACTGAGAATGAAGTACAAAGATTTTTCACTTACCTCCGCCCCCTCCATGCACAGCCTCCCCGACTATCAATATTCCCCACTGGAGGGTACATTCGTTACGGCTCACAAACCTGCAATGACACATCATTATCACCCAAAGTCTATATAGTTTATCCTATGGTTCACTTGTTATGCATTCTGCAGGTTTTGACAAATGTATAACGACATATACCCACCACTGTTGTATCATACGGAATAGCCTCACTCCCCTAAAGACCCTCTGTGCTCTGCCTATTCGTCCCTCTCTGTTCACCAATCCCTGGCAACCACCAGGCATTTCATGGTCTCCATAGTTACACCTTTTCCAAAATGCCATACAGTTGGAAGCATACAGTTTGTAGCCCCTTCCTCTTCATTTATTTTACTTCATTTATTTACCTAGAGACCTAACAGAGGTCATCTTGTGGCAATTTTGAGCAGAGCTTCTAGGTGGATAGAGGTTTTCAACTCACTGGTGTAAAAACCCAGGAGCGTGACTGATTGATCGTATGGTATGTTTACTTTTGTAAGAAACTGTCACACTGTCTTCCAGAGCGGCTATTGGATTCTGCATTCCCACGAACATAAATATGACTTTCTGATTCCCGCATCATCTCCAGCATCTGGTGTTGTCCGTATGTCAAATGCTCTTTTAACCATCTTAATAGGCGTCTACGGGTATCTCATTGTTGTTTTCATTTCTAATTCCCTAAGCACAACATATCTTTTCACACGCTGCTTGCCATTTGTGAATCACTGTTGGTGAGGCGTCTGCTCAGATCTTCTGCCCCCTTTTAAATGGGATTGGTCACTTTCTTGTTATTCCTCGCTAAGAGTTCTTTGTGTATTTTGGATAACAGTCCTTTATCGGATTTTCTTCCCAATATTTGCTCCTACTCTTTTGTCTTTTCATTCTCTTAACTACTGTTTATTTTTAAAGTTTTCCTTCTTTTTTTCATTCTTCATTTGACCATGAACTAAAATGAATGATTAAATACAGATAAATCTAGGGACACCTGGGTGTCTCAGTCAGTTAACCATCTGACTTCAGCTCAGGTCATGATCTCGTGGTCTGTGAGTTCGAGCCCCGTGTTGGACTCTGTGCTGGGCTCTGTGCTGACAGCTCGGAGCCTGGAGCCTGCTTCGGATTCTGTGTCTCCCTCTCTCTCTGCCCCTCCCCCACTTGCATTCTGTCTCTCTCTCTCTCTTTCCCTCAAATATAAATAAACATAAAAAAAATTAGATAGAGATAAATCTAGTTCACTAGATTGATTCTAACCGATCATATGAAAGTCTTAACCATCTATCGTTTGGTCATTGAGTAGCGTTAAAACATTTTGTTTGTGTAGTCTGTTGGAACGAAGTGGTTGAAAGTTCCTTCTGTAATTTCTTAAACTCTTCCTCCATAGAAAGAATGAAGGGAGTAGAAAGCATTTTTCTATCTGACAAATGGGAACCTGGATATTCAGAAGATGAAGAGATCTCTTGACCTTAAGCAACCCAACTGACCAGCTACTTTGCTTTATTGGTTATTCAACTCTGTGGAGTTTTCTGGTATGCACAAATTGTAGTTGTTTCAGTGAGTAGCTAAATTTGTATACACCATTAAGGGGTCCTACGTATCACTCTGTAACATGCTTTTTTACTCCATGGAATTGAAGGGGAAATTAGAAACAAAAATCATCCTGACGGGACAGGATTTAACGTGTACATGAAATAGGAAAATGATTTTTGAATGGGTATTGAGGAGGGCACCTGTTGGGATGAGCAGCGGGTGTTGTCTGGAAACCAATTTGATAGTAGATTTCATATTTTAAAAAAAAGGAAAATGATTTTTGAAATACTGATTGGCTTCTTCCTTAGCAGCTTCATTGATATATAACTGATATACAAAAAACAAAACAAAAAACCGATCCTGTTAATTTAATTTGGACATATGCAGAGACCTGTGATCCTATCATCAAATAATGTTTATTACCAAGATAATATGTTTATAATAAACATATCCATCACCCCCCAAAGTTTACTTATCTCTCTCTCACACTCTGTCTTGTGTTTTTAATAATACGGATTCACGGCCGAAGAAAAAAATACAACCTGCTGTGACATGTTACAGTGAACGGGTCCAGCACTTAACTGCTCTAAGAAAAGATATGGGAGAACACTTATCTTAGACACAAAACTCTCGGACTTCCCAAATTTTGTCCTTCAGGCTCTAAATGTGGGTGCTTATATGAACTGCTTTTTCCAGAGGAAAGGGACGGAACACAGTTACCTCTATGTCTTAAAGACATGTGTTGCATGTATTTGTATTTATGTGTTTCCTTTTCAATCACACACACTATACATACACATACACTCACATACACACACCCCTCAGGCACACTCTACACACACACACACACACACACACACACACACACTTACACTCTCCCACTTTGAAAAGAAAATAAAAAGAACCCTCTGTCCTATATAGTTTTCTTTTTTTCCCTCTGTGCTTTGAAACAGCGAGTTCTACCACCTCAGAAGAGCAGACTGTCCTTTTTCTCCCTGCTTAGGAAAGGGGAAAAAAAAAAAAAAACCAAAAAAACCTTTTTTTCTGGCCGAGCCAGGAAGTGGCAAACGACTATCTAGCATGTTCTCTCCTACCAGTGAACAGTTGCTCAGTCTGAGTATATTTTACAGTGGTAGAGTGTCATCTGAACTCAGATACTGTTGTGGGCTGAATGTTGGGTTCTCCCCCAAATTCGTATGTTGAAGCTTCAACCCCGGAAGGGGGGGGGCTGTATTTGGAGAAGAGATCTCTAAAGAGGTAATGTTAAATGAGGTCTTAAGCGTCTTCCTTCCTTCCCTTCCCTTCCCCTCCCTTCCCTTCTCCCCTTCCTCCCCCTCCCGCACCATGCACACACACTGAGAAAAGGCCATGTGAGGACACTGTGAGATGGCAGCCATCCACAAGCCAGAAAGAGAGCCCTCACGTGGCACTAAATGGGCCAGAAACTCGATCTTGGACTTCCAGCCCCCAAACCCGTGAGAAAATAAATTTCTGCCATTTACGCCATCCGATCCGTGTTGCTTTTCATGGCAGTGCGAGCTAACATAGGCCTTGGCTATTGCCGCATAATGAATCATTCTAAAACTTAGTGTTTTAAAATGATGACCATCACTTTCTTATCTCTCGTGGTTTCTGTGGATCAGAAATCCTGGACGGGCTAAGCTGGCATGGTTGCTGTTCTTGTGTTTAAATTTTTTTTTTTCAACGTTTATTTATTTTTGGGACAGAGAGAGACAGAGCATGAACCGGGGAGGGGCAGAGAGAGAGGGAGACACAGAATCGGAAACAGGCTCCAGGCTCTGAGCCATCAGCCCAGAGCCCGACGCGGGGCTCGAACTCCCGGACCGCGAGATCGTGACCTGGCTGAAGTCGGACGCTTAACCGACTGCGCCACCCAGGCGCCCCTGTTCTTGTGTTTATAGCCAAGTTTTGTCCGGAACTGGAAGAGTGGAGGTCTGGCATCTCCCTCTCTTCACACAGGCTCAGGGCCTTGCCCGTGGGATCTTTCTGCACAGGCTGTTGGATTCCCTAACAGCATGAAACCTCAAGGTTGTCAGATTGCTCACATGGTGTAAGAACGGCTCAAGAATTAGTATTCCAGCAAACAAGGCAGAAGTACCACTGTCTTTTAGGGCCTGGCCTCAGAAATTATTGAGCCACTTTCATCCATTCTCTTGGTTATAAGCAAGGGACAATCTGATGAGTATGATGGACAGGGTAGCTAGGCTCCACCTCTTTATGGGGAGGGGGAAAGATTTTAGAAGAACACGTGGGACAGAAGCTCTTTTTGCGGCCACTTTGAAAATATCATCTGCCACAGGTAGATCTGGTTTCAGGGACCATGGTTTTCCCATAATAACTTTATGATGCTAATATCCCTTCCTTGAAGGATTAAATACAGAGCTAAGAAAAAAGAGATGAGTCGTTATGAGTTATTTAGGAGGAGTTGAGCAGTCCCCCACCCTACTTTGTTAAGAGACCTAGGGTCACAGAAGTCATGTTCAAACAGATACCTTTCAGGCAACTCCGTTAGTCAAGTTCTCTCTGGAGAAGAACGGGGGTCTTTCTGGTCATGTGAAAAGATGGCTCACCTTCTCATCCCAAGGGTGAACTATAGAGCCCTGAGCATCAGTTCAGGGGAGCTGATCCAGGAATGAACAAAGAGCAACTTTGGCTGGATCCCAGATTCCTTCCCAGAGCAGGGGCAGGACCGGTGTGAGATGGGGGAGCACAGAAGGAGGGGTAGTGATGGTGGTGTGGGAGCGGGGTGGGTACCGGAAAGTCCACAGAAAGGCAGCACTGCATGGGATGGACCAGCTGGACACAAGTGCCCTGCAGAGAAGCCGAGAAAGCAAATCCTATAGCAGCATCAGTTAGCAAAGACACAAAAGAGAAAATTTTGCTTCCTACCAGCAGAGCCTCAGTTGTTCAGACTGGGAGAGAAATCACACAACCACATGAAAGCACCCAACGTCTCTATCTTATTCATCCTTTCTGTCTGGTAAGAGATTGTCTCCTAGAATGTAGTCTCCAGGTACACATTTTTTCTTCTCTTACCCCTGGAAGAGGCTTTCTAGAAAACAGATCTTGTACGTTTCGTAGTCACAGCACCTTGCCCCAGTCCTGAAAGTATCAAGAAGTAAAAAGAATGAAAACAAATTCACTCTCAAAAAATCGAGACTAAGTTCACAAAGAAAGAACAGACACTGCGGAGGCTTACTGACCCTGATCTGTTAATTGCAGCTCTCGGTGATGCTCCCTCAGTCAACTGTTTCCCCAAACCGGGTCACAGGGTAAGAGTTCCAGGGCTAGCTGACAATTAATGGTAAATCAAGATCATATTAACTGACATACTGGTTTGAAAAGCAGAAAGGTTCTTTAGAAATGAGGATTTTAAAACGGAGTCAGACCAGACCGTGGAAAATCTGCTAGTGTAAAATGTGTATAATTCAGTTGACTTTCCAGCGCCTGTTACTTCTTTTGTACAACCAGTGTTAATCTCATTTTTTTTCCCCTTTAAGATGGTGAATCTCCCTG